AACCAAAACACTAAAAAAAATGCTTCCTAACTGCAAGCTTGGGGAATACTTTGCAATCCAAAATTAAAATTACTGATACTCCAAGAAAACTGTACAGTATACGTGATGCATTACCACTCCTATCAAACTAAAAGAAAAATTAGTTTATCATGTGCTAATGAAGCACCGGTCAGTATTACTATTATAACAGAGTGTCTCCATGAGGTTTAGAGTCGTCCGTGAATATTAAAGGTGCTTCGCATATGTCCTTCTTTGGTTATTTGAATACACCAGGTACTCTAGACTACTTGTCATGTGATGAACTAAGGACGACTAATCTTTCACTTATTAATTAGCTAGACAGAAATACTATTTAAAAAGGATAAATACAATTTTGTTAACTTGGCTTACAACTGATTGAATCATTTTGGATAACCCAAAACTCGTTTATCACTGTTTTTTGTGCACGCAAAGTGCAAAGTTTTATAAACTATCAATATTCTAACTAACATGTAAATATTATTTAAACTTAATTATGTAATAGACTAATTAGAGTGGTTTAATTCAATCGAGTGTCAAAAGTAATAAGGCATTTGCAACTACTTTGGTTTTGGTTTAACTACAGTTTGAGATTGGTTGAGTGGTCTAATTGGTAAGGAATTGGGTTGGTTTTGGTATTAAGACACTCAATTGAAAACTGCACTAAAAACAGCTGCAGTCGTTCAATAAGGGGTACAGTGGAATCCCAAGTTTTCAAACCCTTCATTTTTCAAAACTCCCAATAGCTCAAACCAAAAGTCATTTACCTCCCCTCAGTCAAATCCTGTTCATACTATTTTCCCCCCTGGTTTCTCAACTAACCAATTTTTCAAACCAATTTTCGTTTCCCTTTAAGGTTCCAAAAATCAGGATTCACTGTACTGTTACTTTAATGACCAACAGTCCAACAATATTTATCTAGTTTGTTTGAGTTTCTGTGATTCCTAAATCTGTCATTTTGGCATTTATAATCCCCAAACTAACTTGCGTTGTCATATATGATCAAACTAAATACTAATGATCAAGTTTATTGTCCAGCAAGACAAAAAAAATCCTAAACACAAGAACATGAAAATGTTTGCTGAGCTTCAAATTTCTTTCCTGGCTCAAGGACAAAAGGCTTGTTGACATATCCTGCTTCAACACAGAGCATATTGGGGTACTGTTGGAAAAGGAGAAAACGAAAAAAATTAAATAATAAATGATGTGGGAAAGAAACAAAAACAAAGAAAAATGTGACAGTGTCAAACCTGGCATAAAAACCCTCATTTCCTAGACAAGTTTGACTGTGTGAACTTCTTGCTGTGGTTCTAAATACAGGAGACTTTATGTGTTTGAACATTTTTGATAAAAATTTAATCAAAAGACCAGTTCGTTACAGTTCCTTAAATATTGGTTGCTGTGAAACTCAGATAACTGTGAACACCAGAAATATGGAATGTTATCATGTGGCAAGGAAAAAGCCAATTGAAAACTAAAGCACAGACAACTTTATTGTGATTGGTCATTACACTATTGACCTGTCAGACTCAGATCAAAGTGTCCATGGTTTTTGGCTTCCACAGTATTTATACATCAAACCATTTTCAAGGGTTCCAACAAATCTAGATTCATGTAATCAAGACTTCACCATACTTTTGAAGCTTTCAGAAAAAAGGCAAACCTCATTATCTCCAAAATCTGACATTGCGATGGCCTTCTGAGCCCAAGGATTCCACACCACTGCCAAAAATACAAATAATCATCAAAAATAAAACACTTTTACCTTTAAAGCAAATTGAGAAAGCTCAGTTAATGGATTATGATGCTCAAGGCCTTCACTGGATTGTTCCTATACTTTGGTTGAGCACCTTCATGGACCATTATAATATTTTATTCTCATGTGATGCTGACTGGAGGTTTCAGCTTGTGGTGCCATTATTTTATAGTTAGGTTTCTAGTACACATAAGCTTTTTCCCAGCTGACTTATAGTCTGTTTATTCCAGGCTGGGTTTTACTGCTGGGGAGATAAATTAGGTTTTTGGTCACTCAATGGAAGTTCGTCTGTTGTGCTGATCCCAGAGGGGTCGTCCTCCCTTTGCACCATATAGTGTGTAGTTATTGCATTCGTCTATCATTAACAATGTAAGTGTTTTCAAGCATAGGAACTGCAACATTAATGTTATAGTAATCTACAGAAAATTCCCAAGAACAGAAATAAAAACATCAAATATGCTGTATGTATACTCATTCACTTTAAACAGTAAATAGTAAATAAAGTTAACAAATAGATAAAATTTTGAAAATTGATTAATATGTAGATTGAAAATTTATATGTTCATAACTATGTTTTCTTACCTGTATCTGGAAAGTTTTCTTTCCAGAGAGTAATATCACTGTTTGCAGAGCCAACATTTGTTATTTTATGCTCACTTGGAGAATTATGATAAACCCTGAAAAAAAGAAAATAGTATTTAACAGAAACTACTGACAATGATATCATGTCATGGTAGTCTTGAAATCTATTTATCTGCAGGGTTAAAAATGCAGATATGTCAACTTTGACTGTTAAGCCAATTATATATTAAAACTATATTTATTCAATTAATAATAAAATTGAAAAGAAAAATCAGTTAATTGAAATAATTAATGACTTGCCTATCTGTATAGCCATTTATCTTTACTGGGTCATTGCTTTCAGTGAATATGTTCCCACCAAGAACCTAGTATAACAGAGAAACAAAAAAAGCATACCAGGGAATTGTTATTCAATTGGACATTCAATAACATACAGTTGTTGATTGCAGAAGGAAACAGTTATCAACTTTGGCCTAATGGTTAGTGTGCTCGACTCAAGATTGAGTGGTGCAGCTTCAGCCCTGGCCAGGGACATTGTGTTGTGTTCTTGGGCAAGATACTTTACTCTCACTACTAGTACTGGGTATTGGCGAAGTTAATGCTGGGGGATAACTTTGTGATAATTCAATAGGAATGAGCAAAAAACTCATAAGATGTGTGACACTACCGATAAATTAGATATAAGGCTCAAAAGGCTCTTAACAGTGTCAAATGTTCGCTGGCAATCTAAACGTTTCGGGCTTAGCACTTCTTCAGTAGGTGGAGTAGGTGGTTCTTCAGTAACTCTGTGATAGCCTACTGTATGTACATGTAGCCATACTTACCCCGAAGATGGGTATGGCTACACATAGGCTAACCCTGTTATGGACTAGCATCCTATTCAGGGGGGAGTAGAAATACTCCTTATCGCCTCACACTACTGAAACCTAGGCTGATGGGCAATTGGCTCATATGCTTGCAGACTTTACCTTACCTGACCAAAGCAAGTGTGAGGACTTAACTGGGAGAAAATTGCTGAGGTCTTCCTAGCATGGTAGGGCCCAAGTGAAGCTTAGTGCCTAACATTTTATCTCTTTTGTTGCTAGCCAGTGAACATCACTCATAATGCCTGTGAGCATTAAGAGAAAAATTATCTGGCCCCAGCTAATACCCAATCACAGCACTTACATGTTATGTCTTGACATGCTTTAATAGCCTTGCAATAAATCCATAAATATACATGCAAGTTATAAATGACACTTTGGATATGCATATGCAATAATTCTAGAATAAGGCACTTTCATATAAATATACTAAGAATCCTCTTTTTCTGTTTCTCTACACGTACTTTTCAATCTTTGTCTTAGGACTGTACCTTGTCAACATAAGTTAAACCCTTTAGTCCAGAAACTGTTGTTTTTGTGACATCAGGAACTCTGAAGTATGTGTGAAAAAGGGTGGTGAACTCAAAGGACTTTTCATCTGCAGAGAACACAGTTTTATATTTCATTAATATTATATTCTAGAAATTATTAACTAGTGATGCACATATCAACTATTACTACAAATAACCTTATTAACATTATTCTTAATAGATTCATGATTGCACGGTGGGTGATGATATGTAAAAGTCTGTGTTCAACAGAAAGTTCACAGGAAACGGTGAGGACAAAATTGTATGGACTGCCGGGTGGAGTGGGAGGGGGGCGAATGCACATATAAAAGGGTTAGTTAGGATGCTTGTGATCTTGTGGATATGGTAATCACAAGTTAGAGTGTTCAGAGCAGAGAACTGTAGACCGGTAAATATTTTTGCCACCTGGGTGTTGTTTAGTAGGTCGTGCACACACACACAAAAAAATGTTGTCATTGTGTACCACAGTGACTGTGATCGTGGTAGGTAGTAAGACCACTTGGACATAAAATTGTTTCAGTTTAAAATAGTATCTTTTAGGGGTGGAATAACTTGTAACGATTATGCCACGCCCAGTTTTGTCTTCTTTAGGGCTCTAATTCCAATTTTATGAGGAGTCTCCCCAACCCTTTCAGATGGGATTTGACATCCACCAATATGGACTGACAGAGAACACTAAACTAAATCTTGCAAAAAAGTTTTCTTAGTCAGCTACACCAGTAAAAGGATGAAGTGACAAGAGGTGTTATTTGCTCCTCAGTGGATTGTACATGTATGCTAGTCCATCACAGCTTATTTTCTGATAACTTTGCATTTTTTCCCCATCAAATACTGATCTAGTCTCCACAGCCGTTATTAGGGTTGTCACGCATCACACAAGCATTGCGTGACGACCATAATAAGGCTGCGGAGGAGACTAATACTGATCAGTTCCTATGTATTCTCCTGGGGTGGAGGCTGAGGCAATCCTGTGAGAGTAAAAGTTTTGGACCACAAACGAAATCAACACAAATAGCCAGGCAAGCCCTGCCTGCATTATACAGACAGAAATACAGCATAATCCAGTCTGATATTATATCTGGGTAATACATTATATCATACTGCAGGGTACCCTAGCATGGCTCAATATAGTGTGCATGCATGTGTTTCAAAAGAATGTGTTACCTTTGTTTTCAACCGTGATGGTTGTTTTCAGATGATGTTTTCCTACAGTCACTTCATACATCACCTTAAACCTTTAAGACAAGAACAATTACAAATCTGAGAATGCAGGTTCCATTTATTAATGTACAGTTACTTTAAGATTCACTTGTAATGCTGTATTATAAATTTGAATTATACTTGCACCTGCCTTCCATTGCAAGCTACTTCCAAGGCTCAGCCAGCATTGTGTCAAACATTGTCAATGATTGTGAAATAGAAAATTATAATGATGTTTGTCTGAAGTTAGACAGCACTCACTTATAATCCCACATCTGTCTTGTACTTTCACTGTCCTCCAGAACAAACACAGCACTAGTTTGACCATTCTCTTCCTGAATAAAAATATTAAAACTACAAACAGTTAAAAATCCAGTAGAATTACAGTTAGGAGGTTCTTGCACGAGAAAAGATTGAGGTTGCCAAAATGAAATGTTTCCTAAAAGGGGAGACCTTTTTTGTTTATTTAGTTTTCTCTCTCTCTCTCTCTCTCTCTCTCTCTCTCTCTCTCTCTCTCTCTCTCTCTNGTCCAAACCATTGGTTGTTGACAGACTGTCCACTGACTTGTCCTTGCAAAGCCATGCTGAGGTCCAAGACTCCATGGTCCAAAGTTTGCTGTAAAACAACAACAAAAAATAGTCAGAGTAGAACCCTTTCTTCCAGCTGCCCAGTTAACTAAATGAATAAATTGACCACTCCCCTAATTAATGGGGCGCTCAGGACCAATGGAAACAAAATAATGATGAAACAAATAAATGCAAATGAACATAACAAGGTTAAAAATCCCAACTGGCAGGAGACAGACGAATTGGCTATTTACAAACATGGCCAAGGATTTGAACTAGGTTCTACCAAGAAACAACTCTAGCTTAGTGCTCAGAGCAGGACTTGAACCTGTGAACTCCGGATTTCAAGTCCGGCAGCCTAACCAATCAGCCAAGCTGCCTCCTATACAGAGAATAGGAAGCTGCCTCCTCCATCTTGTCATGATGGACAAAGCAAGTTTTGCTAGTCAACAAGTTTTGCTAGTCGAGATGAATTGCTCAGTCAGTTGCACCCTAACAGCCTTACCAACAACTGACTAAGTTACGTTTGTACATCGCTAGAGTTTCATGGCAAATCCAATGCTGAATTTAATATTACACAAGACTGTGTTGTAATTTAGAAAAGTAAGTTGTTACTACACTGTAATATCTCATCTGATGCTCTCAATCACCAAATGACAACAGTTGAATGTTTTTTTTTAATAATTACAAAGAAAAGAGTTTTTCCATCATTACTTATTATTAATAAGACAAGCCACTGAATGTGGTTGAATTTATTAGTAATTTGTTAGAAACTAGGTACAAACTGGCAAATTGAACTGGCATAAGCTGTGAAAAAAGATCTAATTTATTCAAAGCTATAAAAACATAGAGAGAACACTGAGTTACTCTGTATACTTACGGAATACTACAGGAATTCCTCCTCTGATTGCTTTCTTTCCATCAAAAACCGCCTTTTCACTGTTCAATAATAATTAAAATGAGCATCAATGCTGAAGTGAATGGAGTAGGATTATTCCCCTTGGTGTTATTCCAGTCCTTTGCAGATTGTGTTATTCTAGAAAATATTCAGAGGGTTTTTGTGTTTGAACCCCCCCTGGAAATTCCAGTTTTGGCTTTCGAGACCTCCTCCCAGTTGGAATCTCCAATGGATTTTATCTGGAACCACACGTTATACATTTAATAACTCAGTACCTCGAGGCCCTATTAGAGGTTTACAGGGTACAGGATATTTCTGTAAAAAAAATTATTGGGATAGAGGAAAAGTAATGAGATATTTTAGAACAGATATCCCAGGATATGGGAATACAATCAACTGAGGTTAATTTTTGAATGATTAAAATATTGAATGTAGACTATTTGGGTCAAAAGTTCATGGGATATGGGATACTCCGACCTACCCTAAAGGGGACTAACTTCCATGACCTACCCCTCCATGGTGAGACAAACCCAGACCACTTGATCAAGATACAACCATTGGATTAGCACCTTGTATCTTGAAAATAAAGTATTTCCTTCATTTTATATACCATGGAAATGTTACTGGGTTATCATTTTTACCTTACAAACAGCATTTCCTGACCTTTGCATATCCATGATGTCACTGTGGCTCCTATATACACATCAAGAAAAAATAAATTAATTAGAAAATTCTGATATCCCATGTTCAAAGGTTTCATTAAGGGCTGGGCACCGAGCAAATTGACCAGCTGTGAAGACGATTTTTCCCACTTGGTTTTACTACCTAGAGGGAAGTTTTTCTTATAAAGAAGTTCAGTTCAAAAAGTTTTGCCCACCTCTGAAAGCCAGTTGCCATCCAGTGCTGAAAATGTTAAATGAAACCCCTACATGCTGCTAGCAGCTAAATACCTGCCAACTTGTACAAACTGGATATCCAGAGATTTTTCAGTACAAAGTGATACAGCTATGTATAAACGTTTGCTGCTAAAGTTTGCAATTTAGATGTTGCAATCCCATATTAAAGAATGCCAATATTACCATAACCTTGGTGAAAACCGGGAGTCGCCCATACCTCAGAATAACAAACATGAAGAAGTAGGGAGTTTTACTTAATTTTAAATGTGGAAGACTTAACATGTTTGTACTACACACAAATTCTGTATAATGTTGAGCATTTAAGCTTAATTTTCGTGTAACTTCCATTTATGATTAGCTTTCTTCAATTGAGAAATTCCAGAAAAATACCAAATGAAACATTTATTAGAAGTGTATAAAAAGCTTATCTGGAATAGTCACCACCTAAATAAACAATGAGTTTGAATATTTTCAATTAAAGCTTAAGTTACTTTCAAGTTAAGCTTGAATAAAACAACCCGAAATTAACATCATAAATGCATGGTTTTAAAAGCTAATTAATCTTAATTTAGCTCTGTTTCCCAATACAAAATGTTTTCTGTGAAACTTTCCCAGGATCCAGTTTGCAAAAGCAGATCTCATCTTGTTAAAAAAATTTAAGCAGAATTAGTAAGCTACGATTGATGTCAGGAAAAACCTGTTGGATTAAACTTATTACTAATCAAGAGCACTGAACAAAAATTCCAACTTGCCATGAAGGTGGACGGTTGCAGAATCTCCATCGGGACTTTCCAACTGAACAATATCGGCCATGGTTTGAAGGTTGGAAATAACAGAGAATTTTGATGACAAGCACTATATAAAGCTTATTCCGAGTTCAAAGTTTACCGTAAATATTTTATAAGGTTTACAAGCTTGCTTATATTGGCACAGCAAGCTCGAGTGACGTGTAACGCATTGCCTGGGTATTTTACATGACGGAGTAACGAACCGCTGACTGGCATGGCGCAAGCGTACGTTTTCCTCCAGCTGGTCACGCAAGACCAGCATCACGTAATAGTTTTGCACAAATATTTCAAATTTCTTAGACTAGACCTCGAGGCTAAACAAGGAAACCAATACTAATTATTGTTGCGTTACTCTTAAGAAAAATATTTCTTGGGAAAGGATAGTTGTCAGTTGTCAGATTATGTAAATTCTGGACTGTGTACAAAAAAAAAAAACAAAACTGTTCCTGTCCAGTGGTCTCTTTACACAATTTATATGTCTGATAACTTTTCGCATTTTTTTCTCAATCCATTCCAACAATTATTCGCAAGTAATGCCAGGTACGTACTAGATGTTAAAATTTATTAGAAAAATAGCCCAATAAAATAAGCGCGCTGATTGGTTAAATATCGTATTTATATTATACAATTAGAAATTTGATTCCTATCGAGCAGAAATTGAGAGCAAATCATCAAATTATTTTAGTGTAAATCTATTAGTCGTTCAAAATTGTATCTAAATCCTATTGACAGACACTTCGAAAACGCCAAGAAGCGGCCGCCATTTTGGTTACTGCTAGGATACTCGAACTACTTGCTATCTACAGCAGAATAGATAGTAAGTAGCGTAGCCAAAACCAGAAAAGCATTTGCAATGAGTGCTAATAGACTTATGCCTAAAACCCCGTACACACTACGCCGGAGAAATTTTACAATGGATTTTCACCCTGAAACCGCATCAAATGTTTTCCGTCCACACTTCG